CTCTTTATTTTTAACAAGTTTACATACTGACACTTGCAATGCAACAACCTTTGAATGAAGCAACAGAGCTTGTCAGTTATGAATGCAAAATGTATGTAGTGCAGTACTGTGCAATGAGAAACTGAGAAGTAATTCAGGTATTGTCTTGAAGAGTAAACTTACTGCTAACAGACACGATAATCTAAATTCTAAACTACTAAAAAGCTATTAAATATATGCAAGATTAAAAATGACCTGCACATTGATCACCTTTGTCTGGTTGTGAACTTTACTGTTATTTACAAGTGATGCTAGACTTCAGTGGTGGAATATAATCAAGTACTGTACTTAAGTAAATATTTGATGTACTTATACTTTAGTTAAGTGTTTTGTTTTCATTCTACTTCTACTTCTCGCTGTCTCAGAAAAAAAAAAGTACTTTCTCCTTCACAATGTCCACCTGACAGCTCCAGTTACTTTATAAATGAAGACCTTTGCACACAAAACATAGGAGGAACACATAAAATGATGTTTTGTTTATGAATGAATTCCCCTTACAATTTATGGAAGTGCAGCTGAAACAATGAGTCTATTAATCAATTCGTCAACCGACAGAAAATCAGCAGCTATTGAGAAAAACTGTTTAGAGCACTTGTGATGGCATTTATGAGTATTTTTTTTAGAATTGAAGCTGATTAATGTAGAAGAAAATGAGTAGATAAATTCATAATAACAATACTTATTTGTTGTCGTCAGATACAAAATAATTCAAAATAAGCTCTACTGCAACTACTTGCAACAAAAAAATCCTGCTTTTAGATTTATAAATGAGTAATACAAATCAAATGATATAATATTTAATAGTATAACAGCCACAGGGGACATTTTTCTACTGTAAGTACCTTTACTTTTACCACTTACATTTTTTTTCTTCTTAAGATAATACTTACATACTTTTAGTTCAGTAACATTCACAATGTAGGACTTTTAATTGTAGTGGAGCACTTTTACTGTGTGGTATTAGAACTTTTACTTAAGAAAAGAATGTGACTATTTCCTCCACCACTGCTTAACTCGAGCACCAGCCTGTAATAAAACAGTAAATGAGAGTCCCATTAGAGCTTTTAATAGACCTGAGCTGTCATGTGGATATTATGTGGATGGATGTCTGGAGGAGAAACCGAGCATTTGGTGAACAGACTCATCTAGAAGCAGTATCACAGTCTGCACATAACAACTGGTTGAGAACAGGATTGAAAATGACTATCTACATTCTTCTTTTTGTATTCATGGTGGTAAACAGTTGCTCGATTACACATTTCTAAAACATTAATTTTAGTAGTGTGACAAGTATTTGCTTAATTTTATTTAAGTGTTTAATGTCTTTCTGTGAAGTGCATATTGGTTGTGTTATGTACAGTTAAGACCAGAAGTTTGCATTCACTGTATAAAAAGAAACATAACCTTTTTTTCTTGCACTATCTGACATTAAATCAGATTAAACTTTTCATGTTTTACATCAGTGAGGATTACCAAAATTATTTATACTTGCTAAATACCAGAATAATGAGAGAGAGAATTTTTAAAAAATATATATTTTTTATTACTTTCTTCAAAGTCAGAAGTTTACATACACTAAGATTACTATGCCTTCAAACTATTTGGGAAAGCTCAGATAATGACGCCATGGCTTTGGAAGCCTTTGATATGTTAATTGACAACATTTGAGTTAATTGAAGGCACACTTGTGGATGTATTTTAAGCCACACCTCAAACACACTGCTTCCTTTTGTGACAACATGGGAAAATCTAAAGAAATCAGCCAAGATATCAGGAAGAGAATTGTGGACCTCCACAAGTCTGGTTCATCAATTTCCAGATGCTTAAAGGTTCCACGTTCATCTGTCCAAACAATTATACACAAGTATAAACACCATGAGAATGTCCAGCCATCATACTGCTCAGGAAGGGTTCTGTGTCCCAGAGATGAAGTGTTTTGGTGAGAAATGTGCGTATCAACCCCAGAACAAGAGCAAAAGACCTTGTGAAGATGCTGCTGAAGCTGGTAAGAGAGAGTCATTATCCAAAGTGAAACGAGTCCTGGACCAACATGGGCTGAAAGGCTACTCAGAGAGGAAGAAGACATTACTCCAAAAGCAACATAAAAAAGCCAGATTACAGTTTTCAAATACACACAGAGACAAACACCTTAATATTTGGAGACATGTCCTGTGGTCTGATGAAACTAAAATTGAACCGTTTGGCCTTAATGACCATCATTAGATTTGGAGGAAAACAGGAGAAGCTTACAATCCTGAGAACACCATCCCAGCTGTGAAGTACGGGGGTGGCAGCATCATGTTGTGGGGGTGTTTTGCTACAGGAGGGACTGGTGCACTTCACACAATAGATGGCATCATAAGGAAAGAACATTATGTGGAAATATTGAAACATCTCAAGACATCAGCCAGGAAGCTGAAGCTTGGATGTAAATGGATCTTCCAAAGGTTCAATGACCCTAAGCATACCGTCAAATTAGTTACAAAGAGGCTTCAGGACAACAAAGTCAATGTTTTGGAGTGGCCATCACAAAGCCCTGATCTCAATCCTGTGGAAAGTTTGTGGGCAGAGCTGAAAAGGTGTGTGGAACAAGACAGCCAACAAACCTGATTCAGTTCCACCGGTTCTGTCAGGAGGAATGGGCCAGAACTCATCAAACTATTGTGAGAAGCTTGTGGAAGGAAACCCAAAACGTTTGACCCAAGTCATACAGTTTAAAGGCAACGCTACCAAATACTAAGGAAGTGTGTGTAAACTTCTTACTTTAAAGAAAGTAATAAAAAATTATCTAAAAAATTCTCTCTCTCATTATTTGGCGTTAAACAAATATAAATAATTTTGGTAATCCTAACTGACCTAAAACTGGAAAAGTTGAGTCTACTTTAATGTCAGATAGTGAGGAAAAAAGGGTTATATAAACGTTTTTATACAGTGTATGTAAACTTTTGGTTTCAACTGTAAATCCTTTCCTGCTCCTGTGATTTTTAGTTTTAATGGAACTCATTAAATCAATGTCATGTGATAGGGTGGAGCCAACATGTACATGTTTCTAAAAGAAATCAGTGCTTTAACTTGCTTCAGAACAGCTTTAAATGAGAGGTGCGTTTACAAATATACAAGCAGAGGAACCTGCATAACCCACTGACAACAGAGTCCATCCATTACACACATTACATCCATAAAGTTCATTGATTAATGTTACCCTATAATGGCTCAGTGGTGAGGAGAGAACTCTGTAGCTTTGTAATGTGTGTGTGTCTATGTCTGTGTGTGGCTCCCAAAGAGAGGAGAATGTCCTTAAATCACTGGCGTTGGCTAACCAGGGCCGGCTGGCCTGTGCTGGACCTGTTAATCGAGCGTTAAAACGGTCTGTCATAAACCACTGGCTGGTGACTTCAGCAAACAACCTTAAGACCTGGGAACACACTTTGTCTTTTTCTGACTGCTCTCTGTCGACCCAACCTTATGAGACACAATAACGCACGTACGAAATATGAAATACACCCCAATTCGCTGCTGCAACAGCCATTACCAGCAAACACACTCGCACAAACAACCTAATATCACCAGTGTGTGCAGGCTTTTACACACGTACAGTAGAGAAACTCAGTGACTTCATCAGCTTAACACAGATGTTCTCTCTTACACACCAACACGTAGACACACAGTCAACATAAACACACTCATTACACACACATGGTGTATCAGAACTGTGACAGTGACGCAGTTCCCAACACCATTACGTAAATGAGAAGTGCTAGCATGTGTAGTGATATGCAAGAGAGAAAGGGAGAGACACAGGGAGAGTTTATGGTGCATGACATCATCTGATCTGTGGGCGGCGCACGGTGTTACAGTTTGGGATTTCAAACTCGAATTTTTCCCATTTCGCTGAGGAAAATCTGTCCGTCAAGTGCGATAACCGACACACACAAGCGGTTTATACGCGTTGTGCGGCGTGAACCAAACAAAGTTGGCAAACACATACATACTAGTGGTCTTCTCATGAGTTAATGTGCATATGAGGGCAGAGCTGGAGGTAAATTTAACTCAAACCATTGCATTACATAATCAGATCTGTAACCTGTATACTCAAATGGTGTTTAAAATACCTGTTTCCATTTTTACCTCACAGACCCAGTTGTAAATCACTCCATATCATATGAAAACAGTTTGGCAGCTGAGCCAGATGTGTGGTGTAGCCACAGTGAGGATAGTGCTACATGGGGATTGAGGTCAGCAAGTTTGTTTGACCTTTGACCTGAAGCGCCATATTTTTACAGACGGAGTGACATCAGGCT